AGACCTGCGCCGGTTCTGCCCGTCCGAGTGCCCGCGAACGCTTGCGGGCTTCTCCGCGTGCAGATGCGGAACTGACCGGTCTGTCATTCCCCGGATCCCCGCCTGCGAGCTGCGCGTACGGGAAGGTTTTCAGGACCAGAGAAAACCACAGCGCACCCGAGCCAGCTAAATAGTTCTTTCTTTGTGACGCTGCACGACACAGGCCACCCGAGAGCGACTCTAATCCGGTTTCTGTCCCATGCCAAGTCCGAACCTGGCCAAAACACTTCTCTAGGACCTCCACCCCGGAGTAGTGTCAATCATCTCACGGATCCATCTCCTCACATCATCCTGGCTTCCCGGGAGCCTGGTGGGGCATGGGTATGGAGCTCATCCTAGGAATTCCCCGATAGCTTCTCCTGACACAGAATCCTACTCATCGTTGCTCTGAATGGATTACAACCTTTTTTCTTTTCACATTCAAAATAGGCATTTGGTTGGAGATTTAGTTCCCCTTAAAATCAGGAAGCCTAGCGCTCCGTGGCTGTGCCGGTCAAGAACAAGAACGGCAACTCTGGAGCCCTTGTCCTTTGGGGGGACATAGGCCAGGCTGGCATCGCAGGGACTGAAAGGGGCAGCCTGTCATGATCAGCATTTGTGCTTCTCTCCGGATCACCTCTTGTATAAACAGTATTTAGGAAATCTTGGGAGGTTGAAACTCAGAGGAGATTGACTCCATTTGCAGTCCATACTTAGCAAATTAACCCGTGTTCTGGGTCCACACACTGTGCCCAACTAAAGGCTAACTTAGTTTATGACTTTCTTGTGTAAACTAACTAAAGGCTGAGTTCATACAAGAAAGTCAGCCAGGAAAAAACAACTAACCCCAACCAAGGATGACTCCAGCCAGCATCACGTAATAGAGAGTCTCTTTGACTGACTGACCTGGTTAAGCACGTTGTGTGAACAGTGCAGCCTTGCCTGGGGAAGTCGATCTGTGGCATTGCAACCTGAGGAGCCTGCCTGTCATAGCCCAGCCCCCAAGTTACTCATGTGCAACAACATTCTGGAGTTGCTGTGTGTTAACACCCGTCCTGGTCAGACCCTTTTTAACTGGAAACATTGGGGGGATGGGGGAGCCAGGTTCTCCCTGGAGAAAGAAAAGCTACCTGTAAAACAAACCACCTTGGGAGCTGTGAGGTGTGTAACAGCCTTTATTTCTTTAATTTTAGCCTTTTGTCTTTCACACCAGAGGAGATGAATGTGGAAATCCACCATCTGCTTCTGCCTGGCCAAAACCTGCAAGCATGCCACTGACAACCAGCCTTGGGACACCTGCCTGGACTGGCCCCTGGCCTGATCCACCCCCTTTGGCAGCCCAGTGATGGGGTACAGATGAACCGCCAAAACCTCCCAAAAAGCTGTTGTAGGCGAGTAGAAGAAACCACGCAGAGCGTTATGGTGTCCAAGAGGTAACAACTTTTGCTAAGGCACAGAGCTTGGATGTCTAGAACCGCCCCCCCCCCCATGGTCAGATGCAGAGGGGTCAAAGAGGAAAAGGATACTGAGGGTTGGGAACAAATGCCACGCCTACCGGGCATCACCTTCAGCACCCCAAGCCCCAGAGGAGGAAACACGGCTTCATAAAAGCCAAAGCTGGGACCACCTTGCCGCACGTCAGGAGGCCACAGGATCTGTGCCTTTCCTGCAACAGCAGGCAGGGGAGGCCATCGAGGTAGCCACATTTGTGCATCACCTGGAGCAGGCCTCCTCCCCCTCCCAAGCACCCCAACTGAGTTTATTAGCAACCTAGCCCCAGATGCCCCCTGAGGGAAGCTGGCAGCAGAAGCAACAGGGAGGGGGATTCCTGCAGGACTGAGCCCCTCGCCCAGCTCCTTGCTCCTTCGAGGGGAAGGTTCAGGAGCCAGACCAGTTGCCCCCACCCTGCACTGAGGTCCAGCTGCAGCCTCCCTCAACCTACAGAACGTCCGCCCGCAGGCCAAGGACTCCAAGGCCCTGGAGTCAGAGCAAGAGGGTTGTTCTTGAGGATTTATTCCTATACCAAAATCAGGGACTGCCGATTGCCATGGGGCTCCTGTGGCAGAAAGACTGGGGCAGAGAGGGGAACTGGGCAGGCTGCCCCACGGTGAGAAAGGCCTCTGTGGGAAGGGCTGGACTCCTCCCTGCCCCTCTGGCACCCCCTGGAAGGGGGCCCCAAAGGTTTCAGCAGAACAGAGGCCCCGAGGGCTGCTTCACGCATGGTGTGCAGAGATCGGGCACAGACCACAGCTGGATCCAAGGCTGCTCAAGGCTCTGAATGTCTGTTCATGCAGGAGGGGGCGGGCATCCTCCAGCGGCGGCCCCCGTGCAGGCGCAGCGCCCACCACTCCCGCCGGGCCCCGCCGAGGTGAGGCCCGGCGGCGCCCCCCCCCCCCCCGGTGTGTGGCCCAGCAGGTCACCTGCCCGACTCCCTGGTGCAGCTCGCACGTGGACAGGCAGCCCCTCCAGGCACTCCAGACTGCTCAGGCTGCCTGGGCTGCCATCCCACGACCGCGTCCCGTCCCGTGAGCCTGCGGGGGGGAGGAGGAGAGGGACACGGCTCAGAGGATGCAGGACTAAGGCCACCAAGAGGGCCAGCCATAGCAAGGGCCTCTGGGCAGCATGGAGTCACGGGCACTAAGGATTCCTGCCCATTAGAGCGGAAGCCCTGGGCCCCTGGCCTGCCCCGAAGGAAGCACCTTCCCAGCCACTTGGGGCCTCATCATGCCAAGCACGTCCTCTGGGCCGGGACCCTTCTGTGGCCCGAGGCTCCAAATCCTGGCCTGGCCGCTGCACACGAAGAAAAGGCGTTCTTGCCGGTCCAGCGCCCCCCTTCTGCAGGGCCGTGCAGATGAGGGCTGCCGGCTCGGCCTCCCACCCCCGGCGGCACTCACAGCACTTGTGTAGGGCGTCCCAGCTGTGCGAGGGCAAGGCCACCTTGGCAGGCTGCTGCAAAAGGCATGCGATGGCGTTGTCCATTTGCTGGAAGGCCCGGAGGGAGAAAACCAGCTGCTTCATCTCTGCGGATAGTTCATAATCCTCCAACCACACCACTTCCCGCACCACATCGAAGTCCCGCTTCAGCTGCAGGGCTCCCTGGAGGCTGAAAGGGTCAGTTGAAAAGGGGAGCCTGTCTGCTGGACCAGCCCGGCCTGGCCAAGGGCCCCCCCACAAGCCAGCTCACCTGAACTTGATTTTCTGGGCCAGGATGTGGCCCATCCAGGCTTCCAAGAAAGCAGTCATGACCTGGCTGAGGACCACCGCCTGGGCATCACGGGACAGCCACCGGATGCCCTGCAAGACTGGAGCCAGGACAGTTTGGGAGGCGGCCTGGGCATACTCACTGGGAGCGGAGGGCACCTCTGTAGGGGGGAGGGCAGGGGCAGTCAGAGCAAGGAACCAGAGACCACTGACCGCTGCTGTCCCTCTTCACCGCCTTGCCCCCACAGCCCCTCTCCCCAGGCTCCCTTGGGACAGGGTGCAAATCTGCCGCGCACTGCAAAGCATCCCGCTGGTCTGAGGAACGGGGCTTGGCTAGCCTGAACTACCCGCCACGGCATGGCCTTGCAGAGAGAACATGCGCCCATTGGTCTGGTCCCACCTCTCCATCAAGAATACCTTCTCGGAGGGCGAGACGCCAGTATTTGCCAAGTGGCATAGACTGTCCAAAGACCTCTGCCGACACTCGTTTGCAGTCCAAATAAAACAACTCCAACACGTCGTTTGCAAAAAGCTGCGGGCGAGAAAGGGTGGGTATGTGCAACCCAGGACTGCCTAATGCCCCTGACCCAGCCTACCCCCAAGTCCCCCCCATGCCAAGAACAAAAGGGGGCAGCTGTGGGGCCCAGTGCCCTATCTTCTCCTCCATCCTCCTCTAGGCCCAAGAAGTCACTGAGGTCTTCAGAGCCACCCCTTTGCCCAGCGCAGGAAACAGATTCAACCCATCTGACCTCTTTCCAAGCCTACACAGTCAAGGGATCCCACCACCTCTGCTATCAAACTGCTCTGATCAGTAGGATTTTTTTGGGGGGGGGGGTAACATTCAGTCGGAACTGCCCTTCCTGCAGCCTACAATTTGGTATAGTTGGGAGACTGTGAGTTCAAGCCGGCTGGGTGACTTTGGGCCAGTCCCTCTCTCTCAGCCCGATCCCCTGCACAGGGTTGTTGGGGGAAAATAGGAGGAGGGAGCACTGCATACACCACCTTGAGTTGTAGAAAATGAGGAATATAAATTAAATACTGTAAATAAATCCACACTTCTACGTCCTGCTCTTTGGGGTGGCTGAGAACAATTGTGAACAATTTCTGTGACCTCTTCTCCAGTATTTGAAAAGTGCTTCTGCGTGCCCAAGTCTCCTCATCCCAAGGTCTGGTTTCTAGTCCTTTGATTGTCCTTTTTGCCTTTCCCTGAACCGGCTTCTTTGGCTCTGTCCTCCTTAGGGATTCCAAGCCAGCGTTCTGCCAGCAAAGCATCACCCGGGAGCTCGTGACTGGAGCAAACAGGGAAGTCTGGGAAGCAAGAGCGCACGAGACCCCAACCAACTTGGACAGAGAAGAAAGCCTCATGGTGATCTGCAGGGTATGTATTAGGTGCATTCTCCTGTCTGGAGACACCCCAATGGCAGCTGCTAGAAGTCCTGGAAGATAAAAAGGCTCAGGGAGGATGGTTCCCCCGGGAGACACCTGGGGAGACTGAGAAATTCTGGAGCAGGAGAAGTAAAGCTCCTCAGGAGGGTCAGAGAAGGGAAAAGAATGGCAGAGAACTGCAAGAGGACAACAAGTGGAAGCCTGTGACCCCAAGGCACAAGAGGATCAAGATCCTCTCTGTGCTGATTGAGCTCAACAACTGGTAGCAGCTCTCACGCTTGAAGACCATCCGCAGTCAGTGACTGGCTACATAGATGGTGCCACTGACACAGGTTTGCGTCCCTTGACCATGGACTGCACTACTGATGTGAAGGAGTCTAGATGGGCTACTTCTCACAAAGATCAAGGACATGTGGAGTCCGTGGGGTCCTCTGAGCTTGGTTGTTTTCTTGCAAACGTTTCATTACCCGGCTAGGTAACCTCTTCAGTGCTAGAATGGAGTGGGGTTTGCTCTCTGTTTCTATACAGTGGCACGCCCTGCCAGTGTTGGTGGGGGTGTCGGTTTTGTTTTATTTTTCCCTCTGGTAGTTCCTTGATTAGGGTATTGTTTAGTGCTTGATTGTGTGCCTGGTGGTAATCTCTGCTTCTCTGGCTGATGATTGCTGGTGAGGCGGTCTTCTGGTCTTTTGTCTCTTTTGAATAGTATGTAGATGCTATTTATCTCTATGTGTTTGTTGATGGCTGCCTTGTCTGAATACCAGGCTTCCAAGAATTCTCTTGCATTTTTGGATTTACCTTGGTCCAAAATGCTGAGAGTTTC